AAACCCGTGTTTATCGGGTTCGGGTTTGGGTTCGGGTTTTTCCCGATTGATAAAATCGCCCGGCCCCGCCCCGCTCCCGCCCCGCTTAATAATATAATTAAAAAACTATTTTTATATATATAAACGAAAATTATAAATATTTATATGTAAAAATTTATATTATTTTACTTTTCTTTTATTTATTTTTAAATTGTTCATATTTATTTAAAAGAAAAAAGAAGAAAAAAAATAGGAGCGGGGGCGGGGAAACCTGAACCCCGCCGGGGGTGAGGATGGGGACCCAGATTTTATCCCCGGCGGTTATCGGGGGAGGGGCGGGGGCAGGGAACTTAAAACCCGCCCCGTTGCCATGCCTAATCACTATGAATTTCATTAATGGATTGTCTAAGTCGACTAGGAATAGTGATGCTATTTGAGTTGTGGTTGACAGATTGACCAAGTATGGACATTTCTTGCCTGTCAATATCAAGTGATCCTTGGAGAAGTTTACACAGTTGTATGTGAAGGAAATAGTACGGTTGCACGAGATGCCTTCCAGTATTATTTCAAATAGGGATCCGAGGTTCACTTCTAGATTTTTGGCATAGTCTACACCAAGCCTTAGGCACGAGGTTGAGGTTGAGTTCTGCTTATCATCCACAGAAGGATGGTCAATCAGAACGTACAATTTAGTCCTTGGAGGATTTGTTAAGGGCTTGTGTGCTAGATCACTTGGAAAGTTGGGAGGAAGTCTTAATACTGGTAGAGTTCATGTATAACAATAGCTTTCATGCTAATATCGGGATGGCACCGTTTGAAGTCTTGTATTGTAAGAGGTGTAGGACTCCTCTGTGTTGGTACCAAGATAGTGAATCAGTGGTTGTGGGGTCAGAGTTAGTCCTATAGACTACTGAGAAAGTAAAGTTGATTCTAGAGAGTATGAAGACTGCCCATAGTAGACAGAAGTCATATGTTGATAAAAGGCGAAAGCCTTTGGAGTTTGCTGAGGAGGAACATATGTTTCACGTTTCACAGTTGAGGAAGTATGTCCATGATCTGAGTCATGTAGTTTAGATGGGTGAGATTCAGGTCAAAGAGAACCTGACTTATGAGAAGAGACCGGTAGCTGTGATTGATTACAAGTTGAAGGAGTTGAGGGGCAAGTCCACTGGATTGGTGAAGGTTCTTTGGGATGCAGCTACTGGTAAGGCTACTTGGGAAAATTGAACAGCAGTGTAGAGAGCAGTATCCTTCATTATTTCCAAGTAAGTTTATTTTTGGGGACGAAAATTCCTATTTGTTGGGGGGTATTGTAACGTAGTTAGTAGACTAGAACGGGGCGTTCCCAGATTGGAACGGGCCGTTCCAGACTACTAAATTGGACTGTGAATCTTGGACGGGAACGGGTCGTTCCAAAGTGGTCATTGTGAGTTAAATTCAACTCCAGAACGGGCCATTTTCGATTTTGAAGCCGGCCGTTCTGGCCACTTCAGATTTCTATAAATAAAGTTTGTGCAGTTGAGGAGAAGGAGAGGTTTTTAGAGAGAAGTTTTAGAGAGAAGGACTCTGGACTAGGAAGCTTGCTTTGGGTGAATTGAAGTCCCGGGTTGAGCTTCGGAAAGAAAGTTCCACTTCTCCTCAGTTCTTGGCTATTCTGAGCCAATCTTCAGGTAAGGGAAGCTAAATTGTATGTTGTTTGGATGTATGATGAGTATAAAGTGAAATGAAGAGATGCTTGTTGAGTATAGTGAAGTTGTTTACGAGTTGTGTGTTGATCTATGATATTATTGAAGCATGTTGAAATTAAGTTGATAAAGTTGCTATATGTTATGTGTGGACATGTATATGTTGTGAAGTACATGATGATAATATTGTGAGTTGTGAGAAGCATGATGTGAAGTATGTAGATATGTGTGATTTATATAGATGTTATTAGTAGACTATGTTGTTAAATTGTTAAAGAAGAGTTGTATATTGGTATAAAGTTGTATGTTGTGCCATGTGTTGAAAAGATATTATTTTATGATGATTGAGTTGATTGGGCTGTTTAAAGTTGAAATGAGATGTTGTGTTGTTAAAATGTGTTGTTAAACAACGTTGATGAGTTGTTGTGCTGATATACCATGTTGTTTAAGTTGTAAGTTGATTAAGCTATGATGATAAGTTTTTGATCACTAGGACTAGAGGAGATGTTTTCGAAGTTGCTTATCCCATTGTGCGGATTGAGATAGTTGTGGTGCTTTGAGAGCCCAATTTGTTGAAAAACCCTCCTTGGGACGTTGTCCCTTGGAGTGGACGTTGTGTTGTTCTCCTCTAGGACTTAGTTGATCCCGTGTGTGGGCAAGGTCGAGGCACACGTGTATAAAGCGATCACAGTATAGGGGTCAGGCCGAGCTATACCGATTACAAGCGGGCAGATGTTTATTGTTGTAAAGTTGTTATGATGCCTATAGTTATAAAGATGTAAAGTTGAAAAGTTGGAGACATATGGTGAAAATATATGTCCTATGTTGAGATACATAGTACTAAGGTGATAAGTTGAAAGTTGTTTTAAAGTTAGATCCCTTAGTACTGTGTGGGCGGCATGGAAGTAGTCGATCCATGTTATGGTTGAATGACCAATTTGAGTAAGGTATCTAGTTAGAGATGTAGTCTTTGACTAGGTACTGGAGGGTGCGTGGTACTTGGAGAACAGTAGGTGGGCTAACTCCATATGTGGATTGGTGATGCTAGCCAAGGCTGTGGTAGGCTCATACCCAACCATTTTGTCCTGACAGTAGTACTGGACCTCCGAGTCTAAGTGGCACAGTTGAGCAATCGTTTATCGTTGTCTATACCTGGTTCTCTTCAGAGTTCCTAAAGATGTTCTATACTTGACCTGGTTGAGATAGGTCAAACGCTGGATTCAATAGGTTTATGCCACCTAAACTACTCAACCTCAGTTGGAGATTTCCAAGTTGAAATGCGTGACGACACCTAAGTTGTTGATGAGTTGATTTGTTGTTGATAAAAGTTGTATCTATGTTGTTATGTTGTTAAGTTGTGATTGTATTGTATGTTGATCCTGTTGAGGATGATGATAGTGCTGTTATGTTGTAAGTTGCTTAATTGTAAGTCGCTAGATTACTTGTGTTGTAAGTTGTTTTAAACATGTGTTGTTGAGAGGTGTGTAACACATATGTTGGTTGTTGTTATGATGAATATGATAACTATTCAAATGATTATACAGTAGTTGCGTTGAGGTGTTGATACAACGTTGATATGTGGAATCAAGTTGAAATGATGTTAAAATGTATAATATATGTGTTTTTTCGTAGTGTGACGGTCACGGCGGGTCGTTACACTTCTCCCCCTTATTCTCCCCCTCTCATATCTTAATTTATCTCTTTGTTGCTCATTATTTCTTATTTTTTCAATTTTAATAATATTATTAAAATTTGTTTTGCTTCTATATTTAATGTATTTGTTAACATTTTTTTATTTTAATTTTTTTACTTGAATGAAATGAAATAATATATTTTTATTTTTCTTAATTATAATGTAGCATTTTTCTTCTTTTTGTTTTTTTGTTGAATTTTGCATTTAAATAATTTTAATAAGTTTTCAAATTTAAAAAATAATTTAACATCATATTTATGATAAAATTTGAGTAAATAAATATATCTAATTAGTTTATTTTAATAAATAATATTTTTTTAATGAGCAACTAAACATATTTTAGTTATTCATAGGAATCATGATTCTTATGTATGAAAAAACTTTTTCCCTATCAAACGTCCCCTAAAAGTTATTTTTTAGGATTCCTTTTTAAGTGAAAATAAATAAATAAATAATTTAAATATATTTTTAATCCTTATAAAATGTGAACATATTTTAATTTTGGTCCATTTAATTTTTTTTTATATTTTTATATCTCTAAAATTTAAAATTATTATTTTAATCGTTACTATTATGTGACCTTATGTGATATCCACAAATGTTTATGACATTTTATTTGCATGTGACTGTCCTAAATTTTTGTATAAATCCTTCAAGTAATTGTTATACATATATCTTAAAATGTTCACTGAGAAGCAAAAATAGTAATTTTTAAATTTTAAAAGAATGAAAATTAGAGAAAATTATTTTAAAAAAATTAAAATTTGTTTATTTTATGAGAAAAAAAAATAATGTTTACAAATTTTATAAAAATAAAGATTTTTTTCTACACAAGATCAAAATAGAAAAAAATCGTTCATTTTATAGATTAAAAATAAATTTAAATTTAAATAAAATCATGCATTTCTTTTTTGGTGTTTATGGAATGAAAAAATATAACGAACATAACGAGTCCGACTATTTGAGATTCCTGGTTCGCCCGGTTTTCTTATTCCCTTTTTTTTTCCCCCTTTTCTTACGAGGATTCCTTTTCCATTTTAAGAAAGTATTATACATTAAATTTAAATGCATGCAAATAAAAAGGGGGCTAAACCTGACGAGTGTAAAGAGCCATATATATCGATCGAGACACAGTGGTCATTTTTATTTCTCAAATCAGCGCAACAATAATATATGAATTTCATTTTAATTTTCATCAAATTTAAAATAAATTTACTTTTTCTACACCAAAAATACATTTATTAAACTAGGGGATTTAATTATTTTATTCAAATGGTTATCTCGTCCTTATTAATTTTAGATAGATGCTTCAGAGGAGAACTAATTTTCTAATTAAGTGAATGTTAATTTGTTATAATGAGCTACAAATGTGAAAATTAAGTAATAAATTTATATTTTAATTATTTAAAACATATTAAAAACAAAAATCCTAGCGATGGGTCTGACAAATTACGTTTTAATGTTAATGTTCGCATATAAATAATTAGTAAATTAAAAACATTATTATAATTGACAAAGTGTCTTTTGCAAAACCTGCAACAGAGGGCATTTGGTCTAGTGGTATGATTCTCGCTTAGGGTGCGAGAGGTCCCGAGTTCAATTCTCGGAATGCCCCTTTTTCATCAACATTTTGACTTCCTTTTCAATTACTAAAACATTGTGTTTGTATATTTTATTCCATCATATTGTGAAATACATAAACAACCTAGACTTAAGAAAATAGAAAGATAATAATAACAATTTGTAAATTTTTTCCTAGTCCTAAAAGCACCTATATAATAGACATGGGAAATCAAACATAGCAATAATGCAAGTAATATATGACTAAATAAGGTATATTTCTCTTCATCCGGTTTATTCCAACTAAGCATACTTGCAGCTACCGTAACCTGTAGATCAAAGAAAAACAGAAGAAAATGAACTATTTCAGAATCCCAAAAGACACAAAATAATCCATGTTTAAATCATTATAAAATAAATCACATGTAATACTCTTCCAGTTTTCTAAACGACACATTTATTCAAATATTATTATACAACATAATAAAAGCCTTAATTGTGGCACATAAATATTGTCTTACTTGGTTCACTTGTAACAATGATACCAGAGCCTGTGAAGTCACAATTCCAGTTGTTTCTGCCATTAATTGCATAGTACTGATTCATGATAGCAGAGGCATGGTTGAAGAGATTGTTGGGGTCGTAGCAGGATCCACCTGGTTGGATCATCTTGCAATCACCCAACATATTACAAGCATAATCAATGTTATTACGCAGTGCAACTTCACTTGCTGAAGGATTTGCGATACACCATGTAGTGTTCACGATTTCCTGCATTTCATTACCAAATTAAAACAAATATAATCTTTCATGAACTTTTAAGGAAGGCACTTGGTTTAATTAGGTGTTGAAATTTACCAATCCCTTAGCAAACTTTAAATGCCCTCCTGCACAAGTCAATCACATTTGAAAGGGTCAAAGTATATTAATGTTTATGCATGCTAAGCATTGTGGCTAGAGGAATTTGGTTCAGACGAAAAAGAAAAGTGACATTAGCATATTATAGAGATAAACTTTGTATGGAAATTATGGACATTGTAATGAAAACTATAATTCACATAGAAGGAAACTTTCGTGGTGGAATTAATACCTGACTTGCAAGAAAGGAGCAGATGAAAAAGAAAGAGAAAGAGAAGTGATTTGGCCATGGTGTGATAGCTTGGAAATTGTGAAAAGCTAAATGGTGCTACTTTTCACTTTGAGAAAATATTGCTTATGCTGCAATGTGGACTGAAAGGGAAGGGTATTTATAGAGGTTTACGTGGTAGATGCGTGTGACCAGAGAATGGTTGTCACTCACCAGTTTCAAACCAATTATTAACTCATTAATTCGCTATTGACTCTCATTGATTAATTATCAATTAACTAGAAAAAAAAAATTACGTTAAAACGGTTGAAATGTAATCAGATAATGGTATTTACACTGTTGGAAGATGAAAGGATAGCTAAGAGGTTCTTTGGTTGGATTAATTGGCCGGGATCAAATCATCAATCATCACATTTCCCCTTACCATTGATGTAAAAAAATTCCTTTCCAAAAAGTTTTTTTTATTCATAAAATGTGAAAAATTTGTAATTGTTTTTTTTTTTTTTAAGTAAAAGGGTTATTAAGGAAAGATAAAAAACAGAGAGAGAGAATAAAATACCAATCTTGTTAGTGGCCAAAAGAAACCAAATATTTTCTTCCTTATTTTGTTAATATCATCATGTCACGCAAGAAAAAAGAAAGACATTTTAACATGTGAACTAATTAATTGACAAGTTTTTAAAGGATATTTTTATAGCAATTTTTTTTTCAATTTTAAAAGTTGTTTATATACATGTTGATTGGAGAAACATTAATTTGATAATTTGGGTTGGAATCCAAGAATCTCTCATCCCTAAATAACTTTTGATCTCACTATTAATCTTCGTCAAAATTAGTAGCTTTAGTCCTAATTTTGAAATGAGGGGAATTTTCCTCACATCAAACTTTATTAATTATAGCATCAAATAAAACAGAATATGCTTTATAAAGAAAAAATAAACATCTTGAACCTTGATTTTTAGTAGCATCTTCCGAATATGGAATTCACAAGGTAGCGCAAGAAGACTACATTTTTTTTATGCATATATACTTAGAAAGAAAAACTTATACCTCAAGACAATTTCTATTATATATATAATAGATTATTTATGATCACGCCTATTATCAAATCGTCGTCCTCAACCATAAAGAAAAATTGTTTTGATTTTTTCAACATTAATTTGTTTCTATTTTTCTTATTTATTTTTCAATTATATTCGAGAGGAGAAATAATAACATGTGATTTTCTAATTAAATATAATAATAGAAGTAATATTACTTTGTTCATATTTTATGTCAATGATGACATGACAAAATTATACAAAGTTTTAATAGTAAAGAAAGCTCAAAAATATATGAAGTGGGACATTCCCAAAATTAAATAGCATTATAAGAGTTATTTCAATGAGAAATTTTAATGAAGTAATTTAATTTTTTTATTTTGTTGTAAAATATTTTGTTTAAATAAAAAAATTTATAAAAAATTTGAAACTCAAGCTATATCGAAGAAGTCTTGGGACCGAGAGGCTATCACTCCTATTTATAGAAGTAGTGTTTAAATGAGTCAAGATGTTGTCAATTACCAACTATAGGAGGATACTCAGCTAATAATCTATAAGGTCAAGAAGTATTCGACTTGGCCAAGCACCTCGTTATAATCATGACAAAGAGTAACGTCTATCTAATATGACATCCAACAACGGATCCACGTTCACCGTAGTGGGGGGCAGTAGCCCCCACTAAAATTTTGTTCATTTTCTTTTTTATATAAAATATTAATTATTTTTATAAATATATATTATTAAATATATTTTAATTATCCTATTATATCTAATATAATAAAATATGTTAATATTTTATTTTATTGTTTAATTACTTTCATTTTATGATAAAATTATCTTAATTTTTTATGAGGAAAAAATTTACTTACTCTAAAAGTAAGTCTTGATAGATCTACTTTATTCAATAACTAATATTTTATATAAAATTTTTAAAAATTAAACTGTTAAATTAAAAAAATTTAATGTATATATTAAGTTCACAAATTTAAAAAAAAATAAAAATTATATGATACTTCATTAGATAGATTTAACAAAACATATAAAATGTTTTTTTTATAATTATCCATCAATTTAAATTAATGAAACGGACTATCAAATAATTTTTAATTTTTTTAAAATTTTTTATAAATTTGATATATACATTAAAGACTTTTAATTAATTAGATGAATACTTGACGTAGAACATGAATTATTTAGTAAAGTAAGTTTATCAATCCCTTCTTATTTTTTATTATTATAATATATTATATTTTTTTGACTAAAAGATTTACTATTCCTTTACTCATTAAATGTGTCATAATTTAGTTTACTAACGTTGGTTATTTTTCAATTTTTATTTTATTTTTTAACCCTTTGGTCATGTATATGTATATTATGTTGTAGGAGAGGATCTACATTAAGAGAAATGAAAGTAATTGTCACACAATTTTTTTAACTTAAACATATTTAAATAAAGACATTTACTCCTATAAAAAAAAGTAGACATTGCACTCATAAAATATTTCTATTTTAAATGAGTTTAGAAATTTAGAAAATACATAAAGAAAACAAATTGATAATTGATCGAAGCCGTATCCGGTCAAATAAATACAATTAAATGTAGTATTAGGAAGTGACTCCTGGGTCATCTTCCAAGGACCGTCTTTTACTGTTAAAGGCTTAAACACACGAAGTGGGGGGGTTTGGTTCAGATTTTCAGTTTGTAACACAATAATACGAAATAACACAGCAAGTAATCTAGATTGGCTCCTTGTTCGGATTGTAACTCTTTTATCCCTGGTTCTCAAAGATTTCTCTGTTCATAACTTAATCCTTGTTTCATCCAAGTTAACCAACTAAGCGAAGATTAACTCAAGATTTCTCTACACGAATTAAGCAAACGTATACAACATTAAACCTCCCCACAAGATTAAGCAACTTGTGAGCAACCTGATTCATTAAGCATGAACAGGTGTCAAAAACGTTTCAGAGATTCAATGAAGAAGAACCAAGCAGAACACAGATACAAATATAAATAAAACCTCAATCAGAGATTGCAATCTGCTCAAGGAGCCAACCCCTGGGGTTTTAGCCTTCCATTAAAACGGAAACAGAAACAAAAATACAAACAGAAACGAAAATGGAAACAGAAACGAAAATGGAAACGAAAATGCAAGGAAGGAGAACAAAACGAAAATGGACAATCTGTATTTCTTCAATGCAATGGTTCAGTTCAGATACAAAATGAATATAAGAGGAGAAGAAGAAAAGCAAAACGTTCAGAGCAAGAAAAACGTGAATAAAAATGGTCCAGAAGAAAGAACCAGCAAGGAAGCCAAAACGTAAAGGAAAAGCTCAAAGAGAGAAAACGTAAAAACCTAAAATCCAAGGGAGGCTACTGTTCACGTAGTCACATCAGCCTCTCATGTTAGTGCTGCCCAGTCAGCCCTACCCTAGGTGCTAAAACCTACAAGAGTCAAAATGGGCCCCAAGTCAGGTTTGACCCGAAAATTACAATAAAACAAAATACAAAAAATGAAATTAAATGCTGAGGTGGAAAATGGTGCAGTGGTGACATGGTAGATGATGTGGCAGATGACGTGGCAACTCCACTTGAAGTCCATAAATTAATTCCAAGCCCAGATAATTATTAAACTGCCCTGAAAATAAAAATTTGGAATAATTAGATTCAGAAAATTCAAATTAGTTAAAATATGAATTACTGGTCCAATTAAAGCCCAAATAGAAAATAGTGCAGATAATCAACAATTAAGCGCAAATCAGAGATTAAAATAAGTACAGAAAGGTAAGAAAATAGGGGAAAATAATGACTCATCAATAATTTTATTATTTTTATCCTATTAATTTTTACCATTTTATTCCTCTAATATTAAATAAGTCACAAAAAATTATAAAGTGATACTTAAATATAATCTCAGATAAAAAAACAAAAATTATCACTCTATTTATAAGATAATTTAATTTATTAAAATAAGGTATTTTAAATTTTTTACCATAAAAATATATTTTTCAAAAAATTATTAAACTTTTTTAATAAAAATGATACAAAATGTTTTATTGCCTCCACTTAATAAATTTTCTGGATCCGTCACTGATGACATCGGTAGGCTGGGAAATTGGTACCTCATTTTGCTGTAATGCTAGGTGAGTTTAGGAAGCACTTATTCACGGGTGACATCATGGACCTACCACTTCCAAGGGGATGAAAGAATTTGGGACTTGATAAATATGACAGGACCTTTGATCTTGATGATCATGTTAATTTGCATGTTTCTCAAATTAACATGCTCAGCAATACAGATGTTGTCATGTGGCAACTATTCTCTACCTCTCTAAAAGGAGCAACTTTAAGGTGGTTCACTCGTCTACCACCTTGTTCAGTTAATTCCTTTCGAGTGCTTAATTATTTCTCAGCTTACCATACAGTTTGACACTATTCGACCTTATACTATGGCCTTGGCTACCTTTACGAACATCAAGCAAGGTAAGGATCATGAATCACTTAGGGGTTTCATTGATAGGTTTGGCAATGTTGCTTTTGAAATTTCCCAATTTGACCGAGGAGGTTGTCCTACATTAGATCTTAACAGCTTTGAGGTCAGGTCCCTTCCTCAATAGTGTATATAAGGGGTTGGCATTGTTTATGGAGGAACTTCGTAGGAGCACAACAAAGTACATGCAAATGGAGGAATCGATTGAGTTTCGAGAACATTATGAGAATAAACAAAGTAAGGAAAAGGTAGAAACTCGGGGGACAAAAGAGAGAGAGATCAATTCAAACATGGACAAAAACATAAACAACCTCAGTACTCTCAATACGCCCCTTTGAATAATAGTCATTCTAGAATTTTAGACGAAGTCTTGAGTGGTGATTTGAGACCACTCGTCGAGTTGGTCCCTACTCCTTAGAAAGTTGACCCTAGCAAACATTGTCAGTATCATTGTAATTTTGGTCATACAATTAAGGAGTATGCAACTTTGAAGGACAAGATTGAGTAGTTGATTCAACCTAGACACTTAAGAAAGTTTGTGCAAAAAGTTGATTCCTAATCTCGAGAATGAGATCAAAGGTATGAATATTAGGAGAGGTGGCGTGAAAGAACTAATAGA